CACGCGAAATACTGACGTGACCCAGTTTTACAACGCTACTGCTTTCACAAAACTCACCCGTAAATCAATAGAAAATCTTCTCCAAGTTTATAAAATCAACGAAGTCCACTTTATTTGCTCCTTTTTTATCAGTGAATATTCGTAAACTATAAAAACAAACAACAGGCGGTCTGAATTTCGGAACATGAAGTGATAGAGAAAGTGTATTCTTGACACGTGATTAAATGGTGTCAAGAACAGTTGCCTCGTTTCGTTCTGTTTCTTATACTTCAAATAAGGCACAGAACTGCGAAAACGAGGCACTCACAGGGAGATAGTAACTGCTGGTTATTTTTAGGCATACGCGCATGCGTCTTTCCGTTACTACTAAATCAAGTGCTCAGAAGCATGGGATTACGTATGTAAACAGAAAATGCCATATTTGCTTAGAAATAAATATAATTTTCAGTTAGCATGAGTGAAAATATACTTTGTTGTTCCATATAGTCCAGCGAGGCGGTGCTTTTGACAAATTTCAGCGAGGCGCTTGCAAATATCATCGAGGCGGGCGCCTCGCTCATTTAAGTGCAGGGGAAACATTGAATACATTAAGGAGAGCATTACCTGTGCAAATGTACACGCCTTACCTGTACAAATTACTGTACAAATGAACGGGAAGCGGACTCTCTATAATGGGAGACTTGAGATCTCTGCTATATGTTACACCAGCGTTCAATAATTAGAAAGTAATGGTAAAGGCTTATCTTTCAAAGCAGGTGCAGTCAAAATTTAAACCAGGGCCAGTCCAAGAGAGGGCAGGGGTAACCCTAGAGAAGGGTTGGGATATTGTCATTATTCTCGTCAGAACGGCTAACCATTTTCACGGTATGTATGTACAGACAGATAACCATTCACTTCTTATAAAGCCACTGGAAGTACTATTATAGATTGATGTCAGTCCATAGTCTTGAACCACCCTCAGCTGTCACCTTGATTGGTTAGAAAAGGATTGTCCTAAAATCACTACATGATTTGAAAACAGGCGCACAAAATCAATAACCACATAAAATGATCTTACAGTACCATACTAGTCTACTATAAAGCAAAACAGATGTTGTTAAATCCCCTTAGGGTCCCATAGAGTTGAATAATAGTAGTCCAAAAGGTTTGACTGGAAAATACACATGCTATTCCATTTTTGAAAATGAGCATGCTATTCCATTTTTGTAAGTGTAAAATATTGGGAGTGTTATGTACTCCAAATATTTTACACTGCAATTACTTTTGGGTCCATTAACTACAAATTCCTTGCCAATTCATGTGCCAAAATTTGAACATTTAGACTGGAATTAAGTCTTCATTGCTATCAATGTGGTGAGTTTACCAGCCAATAGGAACAGTCAAATTGATTTAGTTATAGCTACTCTCTTGTGACTTTGGTCGTTACTATGGTAGGGATAGTGAGTTCTGACAGTCTGGCACACACTACCAAGCCAAGCCCCTCAAATATGCCATCAAATTAGTCTTATTACTGACATTATAGGCCTTCCCATTGGTTATAATACAATACAATAAATTTTATTTCATGTCGGTTATAAATTGAATGGAAACATTAGCTTTACAGCTATTCTCCGACTGTGTAAGGACAAAAACATATCTACAATAATGCAATATTACACAAGTAAAGAAGATAAAAATTGTTCCCAAAGGACAAAGAGCTACAGTATGCTTTTTACTTACAGCTTACAAATATTGGCACATTTAGTGTGGTTAAGGACCATTAATATTTATAAATTAACACTTCTTTTAGCAAAACCTAGAAACAGAAATTACACTTGTGAAAATGGAATTGGTTTGAAATGATCCCAAGGGACACCGCCTTATAAGTTATAGGGTGAGCTTGCTAGACAAGGATACCCACACGTGAATTAAAAATTCAAAATATAATAGAAACAGCTGTCAAACCACACTCAAACTCACTTCACTGACACTTAACATCCTAGGCTACATCGTTCCATTCATCATTTCTAAATCCCATGTCACACATCAGTAGAAATTCACGATAAACACTTTCCAAGTCCCCCCCCCCCCCCCCCCCCCGTCGTTTCGAGAACAGGGAAATTACTAGCTTTTCATGTAGACCTACTAGTAGCATCAAAATGGCTTTATGAAATGGAGCAGTGTCATATTATGTTTCGGGTAATATTAAACAATTCATTTTGGTAATTCTCTCAGTTATACTATTTTAACTTATATGCTAGCATTTGGTTGGCATTTGTGGCAAAACAAATTGGCTTCATACGTATACTGAACGACGCCATTTTCCAGAAGTCTAAACCTTTACCAGGGGGTGGAAACGCGCTATTTATATGATTATGACGAGCCTAACCGTCAGCACCGGATATTAGTTAGTGACCTTGAGGGGCAATTAGGCTTGGTCTTTGCGGCACGCGCGAACAGTAGTCGATCTACCACACCTGGGTCTTTTGTTTTTGACAACTGTTCACTCGTCAAGGAGGTGCTTGTTCAAGACTACTGACTGATATCTACTAGTACTACCAGTGGCTTCATTAGTAACGTTCCCACAATACATGGTTTTCTGTCTGTGCGTACATACCCTGAATTTGGTTAGCCTCACTGACGAGAACAATGGACGTTTCTTACCCCTCTCTAGGATTACCCCTGCCTTTACCTGCCTTTGGTGTACTTACCACTCGTGCTGCTTGTCCCAATAAGCATAATGATACACAGAGCTTGTTCCCACATTTTGATTGTGTGATTTACTTGGAATGAACCTGGAATGTAATCTTAAAAAGAAACAAACACAAGTAAGGGCTCCAATATGACTCCCTCAGTCAAAGCATTGCACGATGACCTCGTTTTCACCATGCGACCACGTGACCACGATATGCGACCACGTGAGGTGCACACCGGGAATAACTCAGTGACTCACCTGTACAGAGTTTACGTACCTGGATAACTGAACCTGAGTCAGTTTCACTACAAATATATGTATCAAGCGATGCTTGTGGACGGGATGTGCGTCTAAACCAAATGTATTTCTGTATTTTCACATATGTTTTTGTATTATCTAACTTCAAATTAACAATGAAATACTCATGAAATAATATATAAATCATTTTCTTTCAGTGTTCGGACGCGGACGGACTTGGGCAAAATGAGTCATGAAAAGCGTCTGTGCAACGCTGTCGCGGATCCACGGTATCAAGAAAGGGAGCCTCCCCACCCATTTCCATTTTCCCAAGTGTTACACGATGGCGTAGTGTATTTTTTCCATGAATATAGACTTAATTGTTTGCTTTCTAGAAATTATATATTAACAGTTTTCACTTACTGAATTCTGGAAAATCAATGTGAAAATTGGGGAAAACTGCAAAGAAATAATTAAGATAATTTGGGGCACACCGCTGGTTAAAACAAAACCTTAAGTTTTAATGACTTTTCCTGGTATAATTTACACACTTACCATTTGACAGCACCATTTAGCATACCGACATCCATGCTAAAATATAAGTTCAAAGTCACACCTTGAAAATGCTAAAATGAAAACGAGATAACTGTACTGAAATGAGTTCATTTTCAACACCTTTTTTTTTTTACATAAAATAATCAATTTACTTTCATAATTAATAATTTAATTGATTTTTTCACAACTGTGGCAACAGTTTTTATTCTTGGATTACTAATATCCAATTTTGTAACAGCCAGAGAGAGTTCCTGGGCCTGCTTTCACGCCACCTTTCGCAATTTTTAGAAATTTTTGGCCTGTTTCACCTTGAAATAAAGGTCAAATCCAACGACATATTTGAAATCTCCACATCTGACTTTTGGTCAGCCATCTGTAGAAAATATTTCCATAATTACTTTGGTTTTGTAGATTTTTAGCATTTCATTTTGCTAATTTTGGACAGGGGTGCATTGTAACGAGTGCCACACCTAGACCCAAGTACACACAAAGCCCAAAATTCACATGGATCGATTTGATATTATACGTGACCTATAGCTATATGCAAGGGATGGATACAGGGGCTCTTGAAGTTTAGGAGGATAAGTGGTATCAGTGACATGGCAACGGAGCCGGTGGATCCAATGGAGAAGGGACTAAAACCATGCGTACTGCCTGGGACACGCTGGTGGTACAATAAAATAAAGAGTATCTAAGCTGTAGATCTAAAATTTCTAGAACTGATATGCATATCTTTCTTTATTTTGTTTACATGGATGATGTAAATTTTATTGATTTATAATTAAAAGCATATTTATAAGAGGATGACAAAGCTTAACAAACAATTTATTTCAACAAGATTCTGAGTTTCATAACATTTAATACTTGTATGTCAACATAATCAATTAATCTTTAATAAAAGTACAAATATAACCATACTTGATTATAACAAAAGAATATACTGAAAGCATTCTACAGGCCTAAAATTGCACCAGAATTTAGGAAGCACTTTTTAAAATTACGCAATAATTAAAAAATAAATTCACGAAATAATCTGCATATATCATTTGTTCATTAAATTGCACATTCTTTAAAATCATTCACCTAATGCACTGTCAGTTTTGCTTGAAACTGTTATACAACTGAAAAGAATATCTAAACTAAGACAAAATAGCACTATCTGGTATTTTAACAGTAAAAGCTTGTTCGAAAATATCCCAAGTATAGCACAAACATAAAACATTTCTTTTTAAAACTTTTAACTGATACAGCTTTGGTGTATTGGAGACTATTGTCAGCATGACCCAGTTTTAAAATGAGGCGCAAACATGTCATTTCTGTGTTATCGGGTATAGCTTGCCCCAAAACATATGAACACAATGAAATAACAACTTTTAATAATAGAAAAAGACTGCCAGTATAATCATTACTGGTGATTTCCGTTTCCTGGATAACAATATCTAGTATAAAAATAGCATAGAGAATGCATGGCACAAATAAGCCAGCTAATGTATGAACTTGACATCATGTAATGAAAAAAAATATTACACAGAATTGGCACCAATTACATAGTATAAAATGGATCCTTGACAATCTTTTCTGGGTGCCCAGTAATAAAATGCCAAGTGTTCATCATCTGGTCAGAGAAATTCAGTCCACAGATGTGTCCAGGGTTTTTGGGCCTAAAAACATACGTGTACCCCTTACTGACTAATCTTAAGCTGTTCACAAGGTTATACACCATCCATGCCCCCAGTAACAGGTTCAGGACCATGGCTGAAAACAACCAGGGGTGACCGATACATGCAACAGTGACCAGTCCCCACTGTCCACTAACTTCAGGATGGATGACCGCCAGGTACACAAAGGCCTCTATTACGAAGGCAAAGTTACACAGTCCCATGTAGATCAGGAAGGATACAAAAAGGAGGTGGTTGTTGTGGCCCACACATTTCATGGTAAACAGGCAGTGGTGGTCCATCTTGTGGCAGCATCTTTCACACAGCTTACAGTGCTTGGTGGGTTTGGATGGAATCAACTGAAATATAGGGACATTGTTTTAGGTGTGATGGTAGTACTCTTGTGGGAAACAACTTAAATATAAATACATTGTGCTCTACTGGGAAACAACTGAAATATAGGCACATTGCTTTAGGTGTGACAGTAGTACAGTAATAAATACAACTTTACACAGTCTTAATATGTAACTATTTTGAAAATGAATCCCCATTCTTGAATTCAGGTTTTTTTCACTGCACACTAAATTTCTCTCAATGTTTAAGGACAGATATGTTCGACTGATGTGGATACTTGTAACAAATATACCTGATACAGTACAGATGGCATGTATTCCATAAATGAATAACACTGGGTTCCCATACCTAGATTGATCTAACAAAATCGGTCCAACTCCAAGGAGTTTCTCGCTAAATTGCTTTCAGCTTAAGCGGCTAAGAAGTCTGGCAAGCCTACTAAAGCTGCTAAACTATAATTTATTACCCCCTTTCAGCTTCAGTAAGCATGACAGACATTTAAGCCACTTAAGTTGATTACAATTTAGCAAAAATCCCACAGGAGATAATTCAATCCAAAGTTAGTACAATAAGGTCTGGGAATGGTCTCTAAGTTTCAGTACATTCTCCTCTCTGTACATTACCTCACATATGTGGCACCAGGCAGAGACAGGGAACGGTCCCTCCACCAGGTCTTGTAATGTGTAACACGTGTTACCTTCAGGTTTCATTTTCGAAACCATCACAAATCCTGGAAAAAAAAAAACATGAATAGGTTATTTACAAAAGCTGATCTTGTCAGAGTAATGGTTAACCTTTCCATTGTGTGACAGCCACTAAATTCAGTTTTACAATACTTCTGATGAAAGTATCTAAGATCATATCAACTCGTATTCTGTCCCATGACAATCAACATCGGACCTATCTTTATCTCATGATGTGATAACTAATGATTACCTGGATCCACCAGCAGTATTCTTCCGTGTATGTACACCAGTCCCGTCACCATCACCGCTGACACCACCACCAGGATCCTATCTCCTGCAGTCCACAGTGTGGGCAGCACCTCTGTACAGAACAGCAGCAGGGACTCCAGGACACCCAGGATTAGAGTGGATGCCTGGAGGTGATTTGGCATTCTGGAATGAAAACGGACTTCATGATGACAACTGAATTTGCAGAAATGAGCAATTAAACTGAATTTTAATGTCTTAAACAAAATCATTACAAAAGATGTTTGTATTCTTTCTCAAAGTTATTTCTTTATTGGAATGACAGGTGTGCAGCAGAATGAAACTTAATTATTAACAGGTATGTTTAAACGAGTAATATTACTAAATCATCACTGTTATCCACACCATATCCAGGTGACTTACTTGCTGATATGACTCAACCTATGAGAAGTCTTTCCCAGCACCCTGTAGCCTAGATTCAGAGTGACCACAAGCATCAGGAGGCCAGCCAGCCAGTCTGATAGCACAGGGACCAACCACAGCAGTAGGAGGACAGTGTGGTGGATGAGAAATGGCCATGTTGCATTCCACAAATATATAGACCAGGGGAGACTGGGTCTCATGTTCAGCTTGTATTTGGCAAGAGATACCAGGACGGGGGCAAGCTCCTTGTGTCTGGAATGTTAGAAAGGTCATATCTTAAAATAGTTTTTAATTCTTAAAAGATGAAGATTTTTTCTATGGCTCTGTGATTGACCAGCATTTTTCAAATCATTAATTGATATCATGTACAAAACATTTAAAAGAGATTATTTTGCAGAGCACCTAATGGCCAGATATTAGAAACAAGTTTGATTTCTCAGATCTCATTCTGCAGCTGAAATACCAGTGCTGCCCCCTACCTTTGTGTCTGTCCTCTCTGTGCTAGTTCCACTGGTGTGAGCCCTTCTCGATTTTTACTCTGCAGCTGGTGTGTCCCGTTCTTTTGTAGCAGCATCCATGACAGGAAACCATTGCCACGCTGAGCTGTGATGTGAAGTGGAGTTGTGCCTTCACTGTCAGCCTGACGGACATCACTTCTCTGAAATATATAAAACCACATTTTTATTACAAGAAAAATTTGTAAAGAAGCTGTGTTAGACCTCATTCAGGTTCAAACATAGTACCAGCTGAATCAATTTAACTCGGTAAGCAATGTGTTTATCTGAACACTCCTTTACAGTGGAAAATTATACATGTTTACATGAGAAACGATGAAACTCTGCATAGGATACAACAGTACATTGGATATGAAAGTGTGTTAGATGTGACAGTGAGTTGGATGCCACAGTGTGTTGGATGTGACAGTGTTAAATGTGACATTGTATAAGATAGGACAGTGTGTTGGTTATAACAGTGATAGCACTAATAGTTGTCTTTAATGTTGAGTGACTTGACCATGACACTCACATCATGTTTCAGTAGATATTTAACAGCATCGATGTGTTCCCTCTCACAGCAGATGTGGAGCAGACTTTGTTGGTCTTTGTTCAAGTCCCGGAGAGATAACCCACAGTAGGTAGACAGGTAGTGTATGGTTGGGCTGTAAGGGGAAACAAGACAAACAATAGTATATGAAAAAGTCAGTATGTTTAAGGCCCCATTCCGAATAGGGGACTAGCTAGTCCAAGGGTCAAATATGGCGACCCACTACAAAGCTTGCCGTCTCATCCACTAATAGACACTGAATAGATATCCTGTGGGGAAGTATTCAAGGCCATATTTGACCCTTGGACTAGTTAGTCCTCTATTCTGAATGGGGCCCTGCTTATATTTCTTCTACTTACAAAGACATTATTTTAATAGCAATCTATTCCAAAAACACCACCTTCAGGTCAACTGTAACATTATTTGTCAAAGTTCTTACACATGTCCACCACGTGCTGCATGGTGCAAACACGTTCTCATCTCCGCATCCTTCGCTGTGATGTCACCTCCGCACTGTCTGAGGACATGGACCAGCTTCAGGTCACCGCACTGACACGCCAAGTGGACGGGGGTCTCCTCCAGGTCATTACGGACATTGGGGTCAGCACCAAACTGGACCATCAAGGTGGCAAAATTGGTCTGGTCGTTCTTGAGGGCGTGATGGAGGGGAGTGTTGCCGCGTTTGTCTAGAAAAAATTCCACCAAGATCGATACATTCCAGGGTTATATTCAGCAATGTTAGACCATTTGTGTACAAAATTTTAGTTTAGTTAATATGAAAAAATATATACATAATAATTACCACTGCGAAGTCTTAATGTCAGGTAAGTCAGAGAACAGGCAGAGCTATACACATCACATCACCTTAGTACATGTGATTAACTAGTAACTGTCCAGATCTATTAGCATGCTACTAGTAACTGATCTTTTTAAGGATCTTATAAACAAATTTCAATCTTTTCTCAACTTAAACATCATACTTTGCAGAATACTGATAGAGTCTTTTATCACCTGCACAGCCAAAATAGTCATGACCATATATAGTATAAGAGAATATTGAAATATCTTTTATGCATTTACAGAAGTCAAAATATTGGTGTACTAGCCTGTGGCCAGTTATTTCTAAAGGGGGTTGTTTTTTTAAGAAAAAGTGGGCCTTATCATCTCCTAAGTTGATCCAACTTTAGAAATTGCATAGAGCATAGATCAAAGTTTGATTCAGGATAAATTTTGTTCAGGCCCCCCATAACCCCACTTGTCAAGATATGCCTTATGTATGCCAATGCCTTGGTTGTGTTGTAGAGAGGTGTTCATTTATATGATGCAAGGCAAGAGTAGAAGCTCTGTTTAAATGGAACTGAATAGTCACTGCAAGTCATTTACCTTTCTGGTCTATCACTGCTGGGTTCTTCATTAACAATTTCATTATCTTTTGTCCTGCAGCCATCTTTTTCTTCACCTCCTCCTGGCTGCCGTGAGAGGCCGCGCACACTGAGCCCGGCTCTCCACACGTGTGAGCTACAGAGTTCAGACTAGACCTGGCAGCATCCAGGGCCTCAAATATATCAACCTCCTCTGCAGGATCCGAACTGTCTTGTGCCATCATTTGTGAGAGTAGTGCCATCTGTGGGGGCATCTGGACCTGCATGGCCCCTGGGACAGGACCACCAGCAGCACCTGTACCACCTTGTGACATAGGACTACCCTGCATCTGAATGCCTTGCATTGGAAAGGTTTGTCCCACTGGCATGCCTCCCATTTGTCTCACTCCTGCTGGCATTGACATGTTTCCCACTCTTGGCATTGGCATGCCTCCCATTTTCCCCACAGAAGGCATGGGAATGCCTCCTCCCATTTGTCCCGGGATGGGGAAACCTCCCATGGCTGGCATGGGTAAACCTCCCATTGGTACCATTCCTGGAATACCCCCCATTCCTGTCTGTCCTATGCCTCCACCCCCATGACTGTGCCCTCCTGGTAACAGTCCCTGGGGTATCCCTGCCATCCCCTGGGGAAATCCTCCACCCCCATGACTGTGGTTACACTGGCCACCGCCATGACTGTGTCCATGTGATGCCATTGCTCTGGAGAATAACAAGACCAAATGATTAATTTGTGTCTTATCCATCACTGAATGATCTTAATCTGAGTAAATGACCCCCACCCCTCACACACACACACACACACACGCACGCACGCACGCACGCACGCACACACACCTAGTGCTTTTTTTCACAAATCAAGTGCAAGCGTTTATTATAATTAGGCATTCATTGGAATGCTTTCACTTTAAAAAATATAATCAACAGTTACTAAACATGCAGTTCGACATGTGTGGACTAAAAACATATTCGCAAATGCTCAGAATGCTTACCACAATGACACGGTTTAGACTGCAACTCGGTGAGACTTCCTCTTCAGTTCTCAGTTTCCATGTGTGTACAACAACCTACCTAGGTCTAATGAAAGGGAGAATCTGATTAGTCAAAATTTCTTGCCTTCCACAGGGATAAATGTACTTTGAATATTATTTTTATTTTTTGGAAAATATATATGCTTTAAAACCTTAATATTACATTATATTTTATATATAAATGCATATTTTAATATATAATTTATGTTATAAAGGATAAAAAATAGAAACCTTTTGAAAATAAACTTTAAATCCCTGTGGTTTAGACAGTGCTCTAATCAGGCCAATCGGAACCAGTGTTACCCGATGACTCACAAGCCTCGCTTTCACTTGGCCTAATTTCCGCCAGTCTGTGTTAGACGGGCCGCGAAATTCTTAAAAATTTATCTAGCTTCGTACGGATATTTGTCATGTTTTCAGATGGTATGTATAGTTCAGAACATATAAACATATTTTAAATATGTGTTATATGTATTTTATAATTTATGAAGGCTTTAGGTTGGGAAAGTGGCAAAAAAACCGTCGGTAGAAGTGGGCTGTTATGAATGTTATGAAAATTTCAGGAGTAAACTCGAGTAAACTGAAATTATTTACAGCTCTGCTGTAGAGGAATTCGGAAGGTATTTATTTACTTAAAGGCAGGAATTGTGGCCTTTTTTCTACAGTTAATGCGTGTATAAAGCATTTTTAATATATACAGCTGTAAATGATCAAATAGATTGGGGAAATGAGTGAAACTAAAAAAGTTAATCTAAAACATTTAACATTGTGGTTTGATTAGTCATGAACTGTGGCAATTAGATTAATTGCCAGTCATACAAATTAGCCTAATTAATGTAGTTACTGGCTTGATACTATGTTTAATGTCTGTTAATTGTAATAATTATGAGCAATTAAACAGTCATTTAAAATGCTCCATCTCATAATGCTACAGATCCAACATAGCAACATATCCCAAAGTGGTTATGATTTGGGTCTCCAAGTTCTTACTGCAAAATTTGTGTTTTAAAATAGTCAGGTTCATCAATACTAGTATGGATTTTTTTCCTTCATGATACCAGTAAAATTATTTATAGTTAACCTAATCAGAGATTCCATATTTTGGTAGAAGAAATACTTAATTGTATGAAAATTATAACCTTATAATGGGTTTGCTACCTCAGCTGACTGTTATTCCCACTGGCTAGCTGCATACTTTTGTCAAGAATTTTAAGCATGCAAACAGAAGACTATCCAAGTACTAAGTTTTTCTTGAAGTCCTAACAAACAAAAATAGATCATAATTTGTTTTTGTAACTAATGATTGGTTTGTGAAAACTTAGTTTTAAGGCTTGAACAGAAACTACAGCGGTCCTAGATAGTAATAATAGAACTTGTACTACTACTACTACACGCCAAGTTGCATGCTCTAGTAATGGAAGTACAAACATTTGCCCGTAGGTCATAGGGCAGGTTGAGCATGAATAACCTGATTTTTTTTATAGCCATTGTGTGGTAGAGTGAAATGACACTTGTAGTAGTACAGTTAGTATTGGGAAGGAGGACAGGTAACTTGATGTCTTTGTTACCTGACATGTCAAAGTGGGTGTCACTGTATTTATAGACTGACACTTATGGGGTTGGTGATTTTGGGGTGGGTTAATAGAAATGTTAATACCCAGTTGGGTTCTTCTAAAGAAAGTCTTTGTTTTTTTTTTTAGTCCTTCCTGATGCCAAGAGATTTTAAAAGAGAAAATTAGCAAAAAATAGCATAAGATTTGTGAAGAACAGTTTTGGTGTCAGGGGAAGTAAGGTGGATGTTTTTTTGTCAGATGCAGTGCCCTGTTACTTTAAAATATGACTATTTACCATTTATATATATTATTTATTTAGCTGTTGTATTGAATAACTCATCTGAGGAAGATACAAGTTTCAGACGATTGACTATTTCTAATTGTTTCTAATCATTTAAGCTTAGAAGGAGGTCATAATTTACCAGTATCAAGTGATAAGCCCTTAAAAATTGATTCTATTCTATTAGTGCTGATGGAAAAGTTAAAATGTGAATGGCATTTACATTATATATAAAGCAGCACACTTTGTTGATCTATTAACTTCACACATAAATATGGATCAGGCATATCATATCTATGATTTTCAATTAAGCATTTCTTTGGTTTATTGCCAGTTCCTGGTGTTAGTGTATTTGGAACATGAAATAGTAATTTTCTTGGTAAATCGCATTTGATAGATCACAGCCACACACAGTTACTCATCTTTTAAATGGATGATGGCAAAATGATGATGAATGCGTGCTTTATGTAGGTATCATTTATATCCTTATTGAGTTTATCGTTGTAATGATTTCGCACAGAATGAAATTGTGAGAATTTTGTTTTTTCACTCCCTGTATTGAGTTTTATTCATATATAATTTTGGGTGAGAGTCACCAGTTCAATATTATACTTGAAGATGTCGCGTGAGTAGTGCCCTGTTTTTATTTGGTTTGCTTACAGAAGTCGAGGGCTGAAAGGTCAAGCTCCAATCAGTGAGTACACTGTTAAGTCGAAGCTGTCAGCAGCACAATGTAATCTAATTAATTACCCACTCATTAACTTAATTCTGTTGACGGCCACTGATAAGGCTGTTTGAGCAGTAATTGTTAACGTATAACCTCTGCCAGTGTCGTAATCTTGTTTTTATGGAAACGTGTGCCTTGCTTCATAGTCAGTGATGAGACTTTTCCTACTTTTGTCACAATTCTTACTTTTTCAGGGTCATTTGGGTAATTCTTGTGAATCGTGTACCCTGGACCCCTGGCCACGTTTCTTACTTTTTCAGTAAGGACTGGTCTCATCCTTGCATAGTGTGTGTTCACTTAAAAAATCATCTTTTTAAGTACCGCTTACAGTTGATTCATTGTATGACGTAATTTCATTGTTTAACTTAAAAGAATGTACCGCAGGCAATTGAAATTTGACTCAATGGTGGTTTTTTGTTGAAGTTGATCCTTTCTTTTCTTTATTTATAACACTCTAAAAACATTTACTCTGCAGCTGAAGTGCTGATTTACTTTGCTATTGTTTCTGTGTTAAGAGGTCCCGAGAGCAGAATGAATTGTGTACCCCTTAAAGAATAAAAAGACTAAAACAAATCAACATAGCAGTGATCCATTGAATTGCTTTATTTTTGAAAGTAGGCTGCATTAAATGTATTGTAGGTTATTTTTCAAACGGAAAAAGTTAGCCTTCAAAATATGTAATTTATATCTTTGAAAAAAAATGTGTTTTTTGCATAATGTACAAGTTTATCCCGGTGATGGTTCCCCAGCTGGGTGAAATACCACGACACCAGGACACCAGCGTAATGTGTCTGGGCCAGCAGACGTGTGTTAAGTTGAATGTTTTATGAAAAAAAGTGTTTGGACACCTGTTGATCCACTAAGGTATTGCCTAGATGAATCATACCATTGAGTTAATGGAGCTCTTTTGAGTAAGTCACAGACTCCTGGATGAAAGGGGTTTAGAAAATCCAAAATCTAAATTTTTGGGGCATTTAAAGCACAATTTGTCAAGCCTGAGGTTTTCTTGAAATTTTCAGTTGTAATTAGAACCACTTATCTTTTTCGTGAACAATTTTACCTAGTTGTTAATCTTTATTTCGATGTCAGAATGGCTTTTATTGGAAAATAATCAAAAATTTATATTCCAGGAAATGCACACAGTGGGCACCTAGAACACTGACCCATGGTTGTTTGCTATAAGATTAGAGTCCAGTTCATTGGCATGTCAGTGTCAATCTTCCCCAAACCAAAACATTACTGACAGGTGTCAATCATTCCATGACCTATCTTCACCCTGTTGATTGACTGTCCAGTGTCCTGCTGTTACTTGGAGCGGCAGATGTCTTTGTAAAAACACTACAACACGGAGATAACATGACAGCAGGTATGGTGGGTATGCAGGACAGCTACACTGGGATTCTCCAGAGAGATATTAGTGTATAGCTCACCATTCCTACACCTGGATACTGATAAAAACAAAACTTAGATGACATGTGGTCAAGAAATGTCTCTGATGGTCAGTGATCTGTGTTCAAATGATCTGTTGACCCTGCATATTGCATAGCAACCAAGAGTTGAATAGAACTGAGGAAGATCACAGACTCCCCAAGACTGGAAGTATTGATTGTGATGCCTTATCTGAGGATTCTTGATAGACACTAATCTATAAAGCTGCTGATATGACAAACAACAACAATAACTGTGCTCACTAAGCCAGAGATTTATGATAAAACCTGCCTAGGATCTTGGCATATTGAATGTCTTTTGCCAACTGGTGTCTAAGCAGTATTTTCAAAGACATTGTGGTAAAGAGAATTCCTATATCAACTAGGTGAAATAACTGTCTGTCAGCCTCCGACTTTTTTCAAAAATGTTCTTATGTCAGGAAAATGGATAAAATTTTCAGGAAACAGTGCTAGCCAGTGAGAGGAAGATTGCAGTATTGATATTTATGTGATTAGTAGATAGGATTGAGTTTCTACTGAAGTCTTCCACAGGTTAACTGTCACTATGGCGAGGGCAAGTGAGAGACACTTCCTACATTGTCTGAAAAAACATATTCCACAGAGAACTGCAGATGTAAGTATATAGTTTTTTTTTATCGGAATACATCACAACAAACATGCTACATAACAGTAACAGCATCATAATTTTTACTAAATATACTCTGTAAAATCTATCATCCTATTTTCATCATCATCTTTTTCATAAGTTTGCAAATGTAGACTTTTTCCATGCCTCCACCCTTCAGGGAGTACAAAGTGAAAAGCTTAAAATAATGACCTTTGACACCAATTTAAATCAATATTTTTATTAATTTTTTAAAAGTATTCTAGTACAGAAAGCATGACCCCCCCTCCTCCCAGTGTACAGTTTGTAGTCTTGTGAATATTATGGTAAAAGTGGATGACCCCTAAGTGCAGTATGAAATTAAAAGTGCTTTCACACACAAGTTGAATACTGTGATAGTTATCACAGAGATGCCCATATAGTGCACCCTTAATGATAATAGAGCATTCAGGCCCATTGTCTTCTACAGCAGTGAATATTCAGGAGGGTGGGGTGAGGAGGGGGGTAGCAACTGACCTCAGTGACCTGTCCCAAGTTTCATTTTGACTGAAGATATCCTTGTTTTCCTACATAACCCTATAAATATCAAATCTGAAAAGGGAAATCGATGTTATTTAAACCAGAAATGGATGTGTAGACAATTTTACCTTTTTTTTTTCGGAACCTGGAGTATTTTTGTAAAATGGTGGTTGATGGACAAACAGACAAACACCATTGCCCCTCAGTCCTGATTCTTGTTGAATTGATCCTGGGTGTTTATAAGTGGCATGGATAGTATTTGGGTAACATTTCCATACAGTTTTATGTTTCAGCTTAATGTAATCAAGGAGTTATAACAGAAGGAGATTACACGCGTGNTAATGATAGAGTCTTAAATTATCACCTGCACAGCCAAAATAGTCATGACCATATATGAGAGAATATCAAAATATCATTTATGCATTTACAGAAGTCAAAATAATGGTGTACTAGCCTGTGGCCAGTTATTTCTAAAGGCAGTTATTTTTTTTAGAAAAAGTGGGCCTTATCACCACCCAAGTTGACTCAACTTTAGAAATTGCATAGAGCATAGATCAAAGTTTGATTCAGGGTAAATTATTTATCAGGCCACCCATAACCCCACTTGACAAGACATGCCTTGTGCATGCCAATGCCTTGGTTGTGTTGTAGAGAGGTGCTCATTTATATGAAGCAATAGAGTATAAACTGCAAGTAATTTACCTTTCTGGTCTATCACTGCTGGGTTCTTCATTAACAATTTCATTATCTTTTGTCCTGCAGCCATCTTTTTCTTCATCTCCTCCTGGCTGCCATGAGAGGCCGCGCACACTGTGCCCGGCTCTCCACACGTGTGAGCTACAGAGTTCAGACTAGACCTGGCAGCATCCAGGGCCTCAAATATATCAACCTCCTCTGCAGGATCCGAACTGTCTTGTGCCATCATTTGTGAGAGTAGTGCCATCTGTGGGGGCATCTGGACCTGCATGGCCCCTGGGACAGGACCACCAGCAGCACCTGTACCACCTTGTGACATAGGACTACCCTGCATCTGAATGCCTTGCATTGGAAAGGTTTGTCCCGCTGGCATGCCTCCCATTTGTCTCACTCCTGCTGGCATTGACATGTTTCCCACTCTTGGCATTGGCATGCCTCCCATTTTCCCCACAGAAGGCATGGGAATGCCTCCTCCCATTTGTCCTGGGATGGGGAAACCTCCCATGGCTGGCATGGGTAAACCTCCCACTGGTACCATTCCTGGAATACCCCCCATTCCTGTCTGTCCTATGCCTCCACCCCCATGACTGTGCCCTCCTGGAAACAGTCCCTGGGGTATCCCTGCCATCCCCTGGGGAAATCCTCCACCCCCATGACTGTGGTTACACTGGCCACCGCCATGACTGTGTCCATGTGATGCCATTGCTCTGGAGAATAACAAGACCAAATGATTAATTTGTGTCTTATCCATCACTGGATTATCTTAATCTGAGTAAATGACCCCCACCCCTCACACACACACACACACACACACACACACACACCCAGTGTTTTTTTTTCACAAATCAAGTGCAAGCGTTTATTATAATTATGCATTCATTGGAATGCTTTCCCTTTAAAAAATATAATCAACAGTTACTAAACATGCAGTTCGACATGTGTGGACTAAAAACATATTCGCAAATGCTCAGAATGCTTACCACAATGACACGGTTTAGACTGCAACTCGGTGAGACTTCCTCTTCACTTCTCAGTTTCCATGTGTGTACAACAACCTACCTAGGTCTAATGAAAGGGAGAATCTGATTAGTCAAAATTTTGTGCCTTCCACAGGGATAAATGTACTTTGAATATTATTTTGATTTTTTGGAAAATATATATGCTTTAAAACCTTAATATTACATTATATTTTATAATAAATGCATATTTGAATATATAATTAATGTTATAAAGGATAAAAAACAGAAATCTTTTGAAAATAAACTTTAAATCCCTGTGTTTTAGACAGTGCTCTAATCAGGCCAATCGGAACCAGTGAGACCAGTGTTACCGAATGACTCACAAGCCTCGCTTTCAACACTTGGCCTAATTCCGCCAGTCTGTTTTAGACGGGCCGCGAAATTCTTAAAAATTTATCTACCTTCGTCCGGATATTTATCATGTTTTCAGATGGTATGTATAGTTCAGAACATATATACATATTTTAAATATGTGTTATATGTATTTTGTAATTTATGAAGGCTTTAGGTTGGGAAAATGGCGAAAAAAACCGTCGGTAAATGTGGGCTGTTATGAATGTTATGAAAATTTCAGGAGTAAACTCGATTAAAATGAAATTATTTACAGCTCTGCTGTAGAGGAATTCGGTAGGTATTTATTTACTTAAAGACAGGAATTGTGATCTTTTTTCTACAGTTAATGCGTGTATAAAGCATTTTTAATATATGCAGCTGTAATTAAGTGATCAAATAGATCGAGATATGAGTAAAACTAAAAAAAAGTTGCTTTAAAACATTTAACATTGTGGTTTGATTAGTCATGAACTGTGGTAGATTAATTGCCAGTCATACAAATTAGCCTAATTAATGTAGTTACTGGCTTGATACTATGTTTAATGTCTGTTAATTGTAATATTTATGAGCAATTAAACAGTCATTTAAAATGCTCCATCTCATAATGCTACAGATCCAACATAGCAACATATCCCAAAGTGGTTATGATTTGGTTCTGCAAGTTCTCACTGCAAAATTTGTTTTAAAATAGTCAGGTTCATAGTTACTAGTATGGATTTTTTTTCCTTCATGGTACCAATAAATTTGTTTATAGTCAACCTAATCAGAGATTCCATATTTTGGTAGAAAAAATACTTAATTGTATGAAAATTATAACCTTATAATGGGTTTGCTACCTCGGCTGACTTATTCCCACTGTCTAGCTGCATACTTTTGTCAAAAATTTTAAGCATGCAAACAGAAAACTATCCAAGTAGTAAGTTTTTCTTGGAGTCCTAACAGACAAAAATAGATCATAAATGGTTTTGCAACTTATGATTAGTTTGTGAAAACTTAGCTATGAAGATTGAACAGAAACTACAGTGGTCCTAGATAGTAATACTGCAACTTGTACTACTACTACACGCCAAGTTGCATGCTCTAGTAATGGAAGTACACACATTTGCCCGTAGGTCATAGGGCAGGTTGAGCATGAATAACCTGATTTTTTTATAGCCATTGTGTGGTAGAGTGAAATGACACTTGTAGTAGTACAGTTAGTATTGGGAAGGAGGACAGGTAACTTGATGTCTTTGTTACCTGACATGTCAAAGTGGGTGTCACTATATTTATAGACTGACACTTATGGGGTTGGTGATTTTGGGGTGGGTTAATAGAAATGTTAATACCCAGTTGGGTTCTTCTGAAGAAAGTCTTTGTTTTTTTTTTAGTCCTTCCTTATGCCAAGAGATTTTAAAAGAGAAAATTAGCAAAAAATAGCACAAGATTTGTGAAGAACAGTTTTGGTGTCAGGGGAAGTAAGGTGGATGTTTTTTTGTCAGATGCAGTGCCCTGTTAATTTTAAATATGACTATTTACCATATATGTATTATTTATTTAGCTGTTGTATTGAATAACTCATCTGAGGAAGATACAAGTTTCAGACGATTGACTATTTTAAATTGTTTCGAATCATTTAAGCTTAGGAGGTCATTTTACCAATATCAAGTGATAAGCCCTTAAAAATTGATTCCATTCTATTAGTGCTGATGGAAAAGTTAAAATGTGAATGGCATTTACATTACATATAAAGCAGCACACTTTGTTGATTTATTAACTTCACACATAAATATGGATCAGGCATATCGTATCTATGATTTTCAATTAAGCATTTCTTTGGTTTATTGCCAGTTCCTGGTGTTAGTGTATTTGGAACATGAAATAGTAATTTTCTTGGTAAATCGCATTTGATAGATCACAGCCACACACAGTTACTCATCTTTTAAATGGATGATGGCAAAATGATGATGAATGCGTGCTTTATGTAGGTATCATTTATATCCTTATTGAGTTTATCGTTGTAATGATTTAGCACATAATGAAATTGTGAGAATTTTGTTTTTTCACTTCCTGCATTGAGTTTTATTCATATATAATTTTGGGTGAGAGTCACCAGTTCAATATTATACTTGAAGATGTCACGTGAGTAGTGCCCTGTTTTTATTTGGTTTGCTTACAGAAGTCGAGGGCTGAAAGGTCAAGCTCCAATCAGTGAGTACACTGTTAAGTCGAAGCTGTCAGCAGCACAATGTAATCTAATTAATTACCCACTCATTAACTTAATTCTGTTGACAGCCACTGATAAGGCTGTTTGAGCAGTAATTGTTAACGTATAACCTCTGCCAGTGTCGTAATCTTGTTTTTATGGAAACGTGTGCCTTGCTTCATAGTCACTGATGAGACTTTTCCTACTTTTGTCGCAATTCTTACTTTTTCAGGGTCATTTGGGTAATTCTTGTGAATCGTGAACCCTGGACCCCTGGCCACGTTTCTTACTTTTTCAGTAAGGACTGGTCTCATCCTTGCATAGTGTGTGTTCACTTAAAAAATCATCTTTTTAAGTACCGCTTACAGTTGATTCATTGTATGACGTAATTTCATTGTTTAACTTAAAAGAATGTACCGCAGGCAATTGAAATTTGACTCAATGGTGTTTTTTTTTGTTGAAGTTGATCCTTTCTTTTCTTTATTTATAACACTCTAAAAACATTTACTCTGCAGCTGAAGTGCTGATTTACTTTGCTATTGTTTCTGTGTTAAGAGGTCCCGAGAGCAGAATGAATTGTGTACCCCTTAAAGAATAAAAAGACTAAAACAAATCAACATAGCAGTGATCCATTGAATTGCTTTATTTTTGAAAGTAGGCTGCATCAAATGTATTGTAGGTTATTTTTCAAATGGAAAAAGTTAGCCTTCAAAATATATTTATATCTTTGAAAAAAAAAGTGAGTTTTTTGCATAATGTACAAGTTTATCCCGGTGATGTTTCCCCCAGCTGGGTGAAATACCACGACACCCGTGATTATGTGTCTGGGCCAACAGACGTGTGTTAAGTTGAATGTTTTATGAAAAAAGTGTTTGGACACCTGTTGATCCACTAAGGTATTGCCTTGATGAATCATACCATTGAGTTAATGGAGCTCTTTTGAGTAAGTCACAGACTCCTGGATGAAAGGGGTTTAGAAAATCCAAAATCTAAATTTTTGGGGCATTTAAAGCACAATTTGTCAAGCCTGAGGTTTTCTTGAATTTTTCAGTTGTAAATCATCATCATTGCTCTTCGTCCCGCGTGGGACATAAGGCCACAATTAGAACCACTCAGTTGTAATTAGAACCACTTATCTTTTTCGTGAACAATTTTATCTAGTTGTTAATCTTTATTTTGATGTCAGAATAGCTTTTATTTGAAAATAATCAAAATTTTACTTTATATTCCAGGAAATGCACACAGTGGGCACCTAGAACACTGACCCATGGTTGTATGCTATAAGATTAGAGTCCAGTTCATTGGCATGTCAGTGTCAATCTTCCCCAAACCAAAACATTACTGACAGGTGTCAATCATTCCGTGACCTATCTTCACCCTGTTGATTGACTGTCCAGCGTCCTGCTGTTACTTGGAGCGGCAGATGTCTTTGTAAAAACACTACAACACGGTGATAACATGACAGCAGGTATGGTGGGTATGCAGGACAGCTACACTGGGATTCTCCATAGAAATTTTACTGTATAGCCCACCATTCCTATACCTGGATACTGATAAAAACAAAACTTGGATGACATGTGGTCAAGAAATGTCTCTGATGGTCAGTGATCTGTGTTCAAGTGATCTGTTGACCCTGCATATTGCATAGCAACCAAGATCTGAATAGAACTGAGGAAGATCACGGACTCCCCAAGACTGGAAGTATTGATTGTGATGCCTTATCTGAGGATTCTTGATAGACACTAATCTATAAAGCTGCTGATATGACAAACAACAACAATAACTGTGCTCACTAAGCCAGAGATTTATGATAAAACCTGCCCAGGATCTTGGCATATTGAACGTCTTTTGCCAACTGGTGTTTAAGCAGTATTTTCAAAGACATTGTGGTAAGGAGAAATCCTATATCAACTAGGTGAAATAACTGTCTGTCAGCCTCCGACTTTTTTCAAAAATGTTCTTATGTCAGGAAAATGGATAAAATTTTCAAGAAACAGTGCTAGCCAGTGAGAGGAAGATTGCAGTATTGATATTTATGTGATTAGTAGATAGGATTGAGTTTCTACTGAAGTCTTCCACAGGTTAACTGTCACTATGGCGAGGGCAAGTGAGAGACACTTCCTACATTGTCTGAAAAAACATATTCCACAGAGAACTGCAGATGTAAGTATATAGTTTTTTTTATCGGAATACATCACAACAAACATGCTTTTTACTAAATATACTCTGTAAAATCTATCATCCTATTTTCATCATCATCATCTTTTTCATAAGTTTGCAAATGTAGACTTTTTCCATGCCTCCACCCTTCAGGGAGTACAAAGTGAAAAGCTTAAAATAATGACCTTTGACACCAATTTAAATCAATATTTTTATTATTTGTTTAAAATTATTCTAGTACAGAAAGCATTACCCCCCCCTCCTCCCAGTGTACAGTTTGTAGTCTTGTGAATATTATGGTAAAAGTGGATGACCCCTAAGTGCAGTATGAAATTAAAAGTGCTTTCACACACAAGTTGAATACTGTGATAGTAATCGCATAGATGCATATAGTACATCACTATGATAACTGAGCATTCAGGTCCATTGTCTTCTACAGCATTGAATAGGTGTATTCAGGGGGGGGTGGGGGTGAGGAGGGGGGTAGCAACTGACCTCAGTGACCTGTCCCAAGTTTCATTTTGACTGAAGACGTATCCTTGTTTTCCTGCATAACCCTATAAATGCCAAATCTGAAAGGGGAAATCAATGTTATTTAAACCAGAAATGGATGTGTAGACAATTTTACCTTTTTTTTGGAACCTGGAGTAATTGTGTAAAATGGTGGTTGATGGACAAACAGAGACTGATACATCAGACCATGTGATTACAACTTGGAATCATAGGAAGCCTTGTCTGGGATAGCACTATTACCCCGTTCACACTACAATCTGAAATATCCGAATTTTTGCAATGCGAATTACGGGTGAAAAATCCGATTCGGTTGTCTGGCCACACACAGCAAAGGGAAACCGAGTCGTGCACTGAAAATTCAGGTGGAGGTTCCGGTTTGAAGAATCGCGCATGCGCAGAATCCATGAAAACAAAAATATGGCGCCAATCATTGCTCTTCTCGCACTCAGCTTTTTTTCTCGTGTGTTTGTTTTTGGAACATCAAATTCAACCCAAAAGTTGTCAAAAGGAAGATTTAAGTAAGATCTGGAAGAATTTGACGGATACAAGGAGGAGAATAGCTGGGTTTCGATGGAGAGTGTGGGTCCACTGACCTGGCATGTTGCTTTTCTTTCCCGCGAGATTTGCTTGTGCATGCGCAGTGCGATCTAAACAGGTGTCCCTTCCGGTAAAGTAACCGAATCGCTGTAGAGAAACCAGCTCGCTAGTAGGATTTTTGGAAACCGGTTTACAAAAATCCTCATGCGTTCAGACTACCGCAATAATTTGAATCTTGACCTAATTCGCTATTTAACCGGTTAAATGACTGCAGTGTGAACGGGGTATAATACTAGCCGGTTTAGCCAAATGCTATAACTGACTTCATTTGGCTAAACAAAATAGGGTTGATTTGACTTGTTTTAGTCAAATTTAAACCATTTTGCCCAAAAAATTAATGAAAATTTGTGATTTGGCCAAGTGGAAAAAATTCCTAGTGCTACCCCAGCTTTTTAACCCCCCCCCTCCACTTCACCACTGATATTTAGGGGAATGGTGTTCCCTTCTTTTGGTTCTTTGTGGTCAGACATTTTTATCACAATGAGAAAATATGCACCAAGTGAAACCCACAACTTGATTAAGGATATTGTTTTAGTTTATATCCCATCTGAATGTAGCTTATCTTTCTATGCTTTATCTTGCATATGGAACCCTTGGCAGATAATGCATTTTTAATCTTTTAATGGTATAAACATGAAGAACATGGTGACTACATTAAAAACCCACAAAGCTTTTAAGGTATATTTTAAGGGTTAGGTCAACACAAGTGGAGTGTAATTAGATGATTAATGTCTTAAATGGAGTCCTTTTTCTTCCTCTGAAATACCAACATCATGACATTTTCTAGTGTTTCTTTTGCTATTTACATACAGATTTTCTTGTGTGTATGGAGATAGTTGTTATTTTGACACAAAAGGTTGCCCTTTTTTTTTCACCAGTAGGTGCTGCTAGTATAAAGTTTCATTTGATAATTTTAAAAGTGACTCTTGAAAACAATTTAAATTTTTTTAATGAGATTTTTTTGTCGTTTGATCATTACCATGAGGCCACACTTATATGCAACACCTAATGATAAATTTTACTTAGTCATGAGGGAAATTATCTAAGATAGGCTGAAATAAGTTATAAATATTTAATTTGTTTTTAGTGCTAATAAGGGATCATTACATCTTAAAGTACAACAAAAAATAGCAATCTCTAGTTTTTCTTTTTTTATAACACTGCACACAACACTGTGGTTTCAGTTTCATCACACTTTCAGTGGAATAAGAATTTTTCAGCATGAGAAGATCCTTGTGGCCTGAAAAACAAGTGGTGTTAGTACTATAATCAAGTAGCAGTTTAAGTGTGATATCAATCTGATTATTCCACAGGGGCGGAATATGTGGCCCATTAGCTGGGTCAGCTCAGCCTGAGAGCAGCAGTTTATTTCATCTCTCTCTCTTTCCTCTCTCTCTCTCACTTAGGGCACATTCCCATAGATTTTAGATCGATCTATCCCCGTGGGGAGTCTCACTAGATTACTGTCAGATAATCCAGCTTAAATGTCCGTCCTGCCTACTACAAGCTGTAAGGGGGTAATAAATATTTGTGTCCGCTCGGCTGACAGCTATTTAGCGTGAACCCCCAGGGAGTTAGGTCGATCTAGTTGGATCGATCTTATCTCTGGGAATGGGGTCTTACACCCCCCCACCTACCCCCACACACACACACGTGCGCGCGCACGGCTTGCAGTGCCTATTATAACTGCAGTAACTGCTTCATTAATTTAGCAATCCCACATTCCTTCCCAGACTATATCACATTATATAATCACACATAAGGGGCTCCTATTAAGCTTTCATTCAGTGTATATCTTGTGAAGTCTGTGGGAGTCAATCATTATACAGTCTAGACAATGGCCAGTATTGATATCTCTAGGCTTGGCAGAGGGGGATTGATCTACAATGGATCTGTTCCAACTGACCAAGATCCTGTTTCAAGTCACTGGTCATCATAAGTTTATGGGGACTGCTTGTGTGGTGTAGTAACCAAATGCACTGAGTTAAAAACTGGAGTAAACAAAAGGCCTTTAGATTCTTATTTTTGATGACAGGAAATTTAATCAGAAGGAATCATTGAAAAAGAAAATAACAATCATTAGTTTAAGCACTTAGCCTTGTTTTACATTTCTGTACTCATCAGAATGTTTTACTTTGTTTATCAAGTGTTATGGATTATTTTCTGAAACCAAAAGATATTTCATTATTGATTTGGTGAAGAATTTAATCATTTGGTTGAAACAAACAGTGTGCTAGAATTACACTAGTCTAAATTGAAAACTGAAAGAAAGCATGGTATGATTCTTGAATTTCCTGGGTTAGACAGTTGTAAGCTGATCTACAGATTTCTGTTTTGTTAAAGACATCACAATGACCTGGTGTAAAAGTATGTGTGCATGCGTGCGTGTGACTTTTTGTCTTTTTAAAGACTCACATCAAGGTGCTGTAAAGGCAGGGAGGGAGGAGAAATTTGCCTTTTTCCCTCCACAACTCTTAACGCTGCTAGCATAGTGAATACATCTTGGTAAGGTTGTACTTTGTGTCAAGAACTGCAATTTGCCTCTTAATTTACTGCCATTTTCTACCATTTGCCCAGCTGTATCCCTTTATTCCGCACCATTGTGTTTAAATTTCACCCAATACCAAACTCAGCCAAGCCACAAACCTCATCAACTGCTTCACTGAGCACTGGGTAGTTGTGTACTTCCAGAAGTGGAGTGAGGGGAGAGGGGGGGGGAGAACTACCAAGGTGAGTTCATACCAAGACAAACTTATGACTAAAATAGACGTACTAGTATAGGAATTATTTTTAGTGCAGATTACGTAGGGGTTTTTATCAATGCCTGTGCCTTTAAATCTCATGTTTAACAGGTTTAGTTAAAAGAAACTGGACGGGCTAATTCTGGTTAGTGTTAGTGTCTTAGAACTGATGTGAACTTGTTTTAAGGCTGCTTTGTAGATTGGCCCCTAGGAGATTCTGACTGTAAAAGCCCCCCCCCACACACACACACACACACACACACACACACACACATCATTTTTCATTGACTTGGAATGGCTTGGGCCATACATGGACTCCAAGCATCAGACTCCACAAAAACTGTGCCTTCTCATTTTGCTAAAAAGCGCTCCAAAAGGAAAATATTTTAGCTTTTTCAGATAAGACAAAGGGTTTTGGTATTGTTCGATACATATCTTGCTAGCTTTAAAGTAAAACACATGCTTTGGTAGTGACAAGAAAAATCTTGTGTTTAAGCTCTTAAAAACACAGTTGCAACTGTTTTTTTTCAGCATTTGAATACAATATCTACTCTGAGAAAGTTCATAGAGAAAAACCCAGTAGGCTCTTTGTGACAGAGATAATTGGAAGTTTGACTCAAAAACATTCAGTTTTTTCTTTTTTACTAAATCTTGGATACTGTTGCTCAATGTTTTGACACAGTTGGATGTATAATTTATTGTAGAACATTTTGTTGTCGCATTTTCAGGACTTGGACATAATATATGCGTACCTGCGAGGGCTAGAGGCACTGAGCTCACTGAGAGAACCAGCACTACGGGCCATCTGCAAGAATGTGCGATACGAGTTCCACGACGCAAATGATATATTATACTGGTAAGAGTATGGCTTCAGACTTATGCCCTTTTTCTCTGCAAGAGCTGCACTTATTTAGGCTGCTCCAGTTTGAGAGATTGACAGCTTAATAGCTTGACTCTAATGTAAGAGAATCATTAAAATGAAGTCCTTGTACTCGACATGGTCCATTTTATTACAAAATAAGAAGAAAGCAAACTTGTGAAATGGAGTAAAACTAGGGTAATAACATGTTAGTATGTGTCCAACTGGATTGGTCTAGTTAAGTGTATTTCTCAATTTGAAAAGGGCCTAAGATGTTATCATTTAATGTTTAGTTTTGTTTTCTGATTTTGAGTTTGAAACAAAAGGGTTGATTGATTGTGAATTGTTATTAAGTTGGGTATGATGTTGTCTATGATGTCATTATTTCCATGTGATGGGTGTGACAGTGTGTTAGGTATCACATTGAGATAGATGTGTTGGCTATGGCAATGTGTTGGACATTACATTGTGTTAGATGTGCTGAGGCATTGTGTTGGCTGTGACAGTGTGTTGGACATCACAATATGTTAGATGTGTTAGCTGGGGCATTGTCTTACATGAGTTTGACTGTTTTGAATTGGCCAACTATTTTATAAAGAATTTTAAAGGTTTTTTTACCATGTTACCAGTATTTTTATATGTACTGTCAGTATTTGACCCCCTCCCCTCCCCACCCCCTCCTGCAGTCATAAAAATGGCTGGTAGTCTCAGTTTTCTTTTATTAAAGGCTGCTAGATTGTGGTTATTGGGTGTTAAGTCCATTGTAGACTATGGCTACAACTTTCTTTGGTCCAGCAGGCATGCAAGTTTCTAGTTGAGTTGCAGCCTTGTAAGACCTTCAACTTTTTTACCTGGTAAAACTGTAAAAAGGCAGACACTGTTTACTGTGGATCAAATCACTGTTGTTTGTGAAACACTTTTAGACCACTATCACTCAGACTGTATGCAGTTGGATTTAGTTGAGCTTAGCTCGTGTTGAGCTGTCTTAGTGTGTTCCAAACACTTAATGCGCCCTGTGCAACAGGCTCCAGATGTGGCGACACCTGGTGGTTAAAACTGTCACATGTGTTCTATGTTGAGCCAAGTGACTTGGTTTTGTCTCCTAAGTACTTTGGTTGTTGGACTATATGGTTTGCTCATATGTTTTGGCATTCAACTTTGTCATTTTATTTATCTACCATGTGTGGATGGTAAATGGATGGTGACAGTCATATAATTTCTATTTAATCAATTACAATTTTAATTTTGGCTAAGTCTGTGATACTTGCATTTGTATGTACACTAAAGGAAGTCTAAAGAAGATTTTATTTATTATAACAGTAGATGATTGACTTGATTGGAAGAAGGCACAAAGATAAAGGTATCCATTATTTGTTTTCTGTTGGAATCTTTTTCATAGTGGTGAAATGCAGAGCTACATCTAGATGCATAGATTCACTATACGGTCTCTTCATATAAATAGAAATAGTGCATGTCTTCACCATTAGGTGTCAGCACTGAGCAGATCCATGTCAACTTTGACCTGAAATCCAGTCTTGTTTATTCTCTCTCCATTGGGACCCTGCAGGTCTTGGTGTAAGCAAGAAGATGGCTCTGTCTGAGATGAGAGAGAGATAGTGCTGTCTAATGTAAATGTGAGAAAGATGGGCTGAGATAGCGTGACCCATATTTTATCTATGTTGGAGGGGGACTGAAGAATGTAATAGCAGTGATATTAGACAGTAAAGGTTTTTTTTGGATTTGTTGACTTTGCATTGGTTGACACGGGTGACAGTGAATTTTTATTGAAATAATTATTTCCTTATAAACAAAATCCTGCATTCAGCAGTGAAGCAGTCATAATTTATTGTAGTTGACACTTGAATTGTTTTTATGCCTTGGGAAATTTTGAAAAAGATAAAAAGCCCTTCTATTTTTAAATTCTTACCTAACCTAGTAGTCAGGTAATACTTGAAATATTTACTATAACTATTTAAATAACATTTTTAACAGGGCAAGGATTTGATAAAGAACTCAAGGTCTTCAGCTTCAAATATTCCAAACATTCAGATCACATGTTTTATATGTGTCACTTGGGCTGTATCACTGTCTCAAGGTTCAAATAACTGATATAATTCATTAACATTTTATCGCCTTAATGAGCCAATTTACACGTTATTTGCATGAGTAGATAAGAACACTTGAATGTACTGGTACATTTATGGCTATAGGAAAGGAATAGAAAGGTCATTAACTGCAGGCAATTAAAATTTAAATATAGTCCATTTTAGCTGTTAATGATAATGGGTATATCACTCGGGTACCGGTGTACTAGAACCTGCTAAAGAAACTAAGGTGAGCTCTAAAGGATGTGCACATCAGGCAGAATACCTGACACAAATTTTATAGATACAGATTTTTGGAATTTACCATTAACAATTGACCCACTGCTGTTGTTTTTATGCTCTGAGATTAACCACTATGTATATTTGGTTCCCCTCCTCCCAAGAAATAAATAAATATTGCCAATCAATACTTAAACTGTTCTTGTATGCTCATTCAATCTCATGGGTTTCAAAAACAAAAAGAAAATGAATGTCTGCCAACCCTGTTTACAGGGAGTAGTTGCTCATTAACTAACTTCACATTTTTGTCTTTTGTAATTCTTCACTCATGGTAAAATGCCAAGTAATGTGACACTTTCTTACTGCATGTGATTCATCTTGTCCATTTTGGACCATATTTAAAGTAATCATGCCTTGGGTTTTCCTGACAAAATAAATTTTTCTTTAAAATAAAAACAAATTTATCGCACTCATGAATTATTCCACGCTGCTCCTGCACTTGGATTCAATATTTATACCATTTTAAATAAATTATTTCCTCCTAAATGGCTACCCTTTCACTTGTGACTGCTATGGTTTCATGAACATTCCAAAAGGGACTAGGTTCTTTAATTTTATTGATTTTAGTTGTTTTTAGAAAGAAAGTAGCTTTGCAGGATGTGCTGACAGGAAATATGACTTTGGGACATTTTCAAAAACAGTTTTAAAGTAAAAGTTTTATCCCATTTCCCCTACTGATTGATGGGACCCGTGGAAGGGAGGAACCACAGGGATGCTGCAGCAATGTTAACACACTGATTGCATGATGGAAGACCATGTGTGTCACCGCCGTGGAACAGAGGGTCATCACGATGCTGAACCATCTCATTGTCTGTGCGAACTAATTTTAGTGCTGCTGCACACAGACCCAGTGTGTGCGGCTCACTCCTGATGGATGTTTTTCACTTTCTCATTCAGTAACTAACTGCTGACATGGGAAGCATGGTTGAAGGATGATTACGAACATCTTATGTAGGCAGCACTTTTCTAGTTGCCACCTCTGCCAGCTATTAGAAACGCTTAGTAGAGGTTACAACTGATGAACTTTTCTGTGTTACATGGTTTTTGACTTAAAGGATGTTATCAAAGGTTGCACTACCACTGTGTTACTTCCAGAAAACGGATATATTGTGAAGGTTCAACTGAAGAGCATTTGACCTTTACGCTTACTTAAAGTGGAAGTAGCAACTTTCTTATGCAATGGAATATTTATGGATTTTGCTCATATCAGGGCAACCCTTCGAAGACTAATTTGAGTTCATAGAGAAGATAATTAATATTATATTACCTTGGATTTTCGACATATGGCTAAAGACTGAGGTAAAGAGGGATAGAACTGGATGTAAAGTTAAATACAGGTATGGTGAATAGCAGGAAAGTTCATATTGCTTCATGAAAAAGCTGTAGGATTTATTTATTTATTTATTTTAACATAAAAGTTTTCTTTGGAAAAAATTTATCTGATTTGCTTAAATGTTGACAAAAATATTAAGAATAGCTGAATACAATGAAAATGAACAAATAAATGGAATTAAATCCGTACATAATTATTTTTTTGGGGCAGTATTAAAAGTATCTTTAAGCTGTACTTAAATAGACCTAAATAAACCATGCTATAAAACCCACACCTGTTGAATTACCTTATTACAGGTGTTAATATAGTGGTTTGGTAGGAAAAAAGTGTTTATGAATGGGTCTTAACCTGGTTTGAGCTAACGGCATTTTTATTGTAAATGAATTTAATATTATTGTTGTTGGTGTGTATCCTGAAGTTGCAGTGATGGGAATGGAAATCATCCTCGCTATACCAAAGTGCTGGACTTTGCATAAATTCTAGAGAGATTTAACAAGATTTGTATGATAGAGAAGTCAGAAATAATGTCAGGCTAGCAAACACGGAATAGCATTGAATAAAAGCTGACAGAATATTATGTGGATATTGTATTCTGGCTGTTTTCTCTTAAGTTCTGTAGAAGTCTTTTGCACAACAGATGGCATTCACTGTTTTGCCTGTTGCTTTCTAAGATGAAATTCCTAGAACATAGGTTGTTATCCATATTGCTATAAGGTTAGTCCCATCTCCTGTTGGTCCTTGCACATTTTCTAGTCTTATGTGACATCTACTGTGTCATTGTCTTCATTTAAGGCTATGTAAGATAATTTTCATAACTTTTGCCACTTGCCAAGTCAGTCATGATGCAGAGATAGGTCAGTGTGGGTTATGTTATATAAGAGTATGTTTTAGATTGTGTTTGGTGTGATGGTACTAGTATGTGAAATGTGCTTTGGATGAAGGACATGGCTTGGTGACTGACTTGAATATTAAAATATATTTTATTTCTTGTGAGAAAAGCAGACAGAGCAAGGAATTCATTAATAAGAATTTAATAAGAATCTTAAAATTTGACTTTTTTAACTTTGTAAAACATTTTTTTCTGAGGTAAAATAGTGTAAACTTTAGGTGGTGTTGTAATTGTGTTAGTTGTGACTAAAACACACTCCTAACTCTCTTCACTTGTTTCTTCCAGCCGTGGTGAGATCAGCTCCTGCTGGTATATCCTGCTTACTGGGAGTGTGTTCATAGACGGATCCATGTTCCTGCCAAGAAGCAGGTAAGAATTCCCCCCCCCCCTTGCCCTCTCCCCTGTAATACCGTGCCCCATTGTAAAGCAACCACTATATGACGTGATGCTCCAAATATCTTTGGGAGACTATGAAGATGGTGTTAGTTATGACGTGTGTGTGATTTTTAATGCAGAGTTTGAATAACTGGAAATTTTGTTGTGCATGAGTGTGGGAATGCATAATGCTAGAGATGATGCCATTCTTTACCCTGTTGTCATTACTTGATTGTTGATTGTATTTGATTTTGAATGAAATGTAACTAAAACGCACTGTGATGGGGAGCTTTTCTATTTTATTTCATTTTATTTTTTTTGCTCTCGTGACTTTATGACCATGATATGACTGGTCTGGAATTGAGACAAGAATTGGATATTCTGTTTTAAAGTTACTTGCCTAAGCAGCCTAACATTTCAGCTTGAATAATTATCAGGGATATTATTTCTGCTCTCAGAGTGCAGCATTTCACAGTCAGCAGTGCAATCAGTAACATTATGCAAGGGCATTAGTTTGGTTTCACTGAAGTGTTAATGGAAAGATTTACTGTTAGAAGAAAATGGGGAAAACCAGGACAACATAATATCTTTGGATGTTTATTTTCTTGTGTGGTTAGTACCACTTCAGTAATAGCATTTCAGGACATATTTTTCACATTTTGAGTTTTATGCTACAATTTCACTCTTATTGAGAAGTTTTATATTCTTCTGCCTGAGTTTTTTCAAGAATGTCAGTTATAAAGCTCCAGAGTATGGTTTTAAGTTTAAAAAAAAAAAAAAAAATTACAATTGCGAGTCATAAATTATATGTTGCTCAAAGTAAGATATGAATGGGGTCAAGGTGACACTTCTGCAGGAAAACGTCATGTATGTGCCTTGGGACATGTCATACTATTTTGATATGTCCTGTTGTCATTAGTGCTGGTGGCTGAACTGAGGGTGAAGGGGGAGGGAGAAAGAATGGCAAAGAGGAGGGTAGGGAACACCTTATGATTGGCGTGATTGGCCTTATTTTTCGAGCGTAATGCATTTATTTGAGCCCAATATTTTGCGTGAAGCATGATTCAAGAATTCTTGGTGATTGTCCTGAATATGTATTGGTGATTGGTGATTGAGCTGTTTTAATTCTTGGTGATTGGTGATTAAGGGGGTGGGGGTGATTGAGCTGTTTTAATTCTTGGTGATTGGTGATTAAGGGGGTGGGGGGGGGGGTATTCCCTACCCTCAAGGAGGGGAGAGAGTACACCACAGAAAAGGATGAAGAGTACACAAATAGAAATGAGGGAGGTGAAACATAGGTGAAAAAGAGAACATACAGAAGTGGCATGAGTGCCCCTAGATCACGTGGGACTTTGAAAGTTCACTGTTATAATACATACTCCCTATTGAGAGCTTCCATTCCAAATAGCAGATCAAACATTAACAGTCAGTCTGTAGTGGTAGCCTGATATTCTGTGTCAGCGGCATGTTATGTACACATATCAAAACTGTGTGTGTAGGACACCTTGTTTTGTAAGCATATTCCATAAAGAAAGAGGTCCAGAGGTGCATTAAAGGAGGCATTTTAATGGCCTATTTGCAGCATTTTGTTGTGCAGCCTCACGTAGAACACTCCCCTCTCCCTGAGCAGGGAGACTTTATGCTATAAGCAGTAGGAACTTAATAAGGGTCGGTTTTATTTGGGGAGAAGCAGAGGATGGATGTTTTTGGACTGTTTTGAATACGATGTATGCTGTCAAATGAATAGGATGTTTGGGAAGAGTATGATGGAACTAAGTTAGGTGAAAAGTATTCAGTGCTGTTTTAGTTTCTGATTCCATTGGCTGGTGTTTGATGAATGGGTTGTCCAGAGTTTACTGTAGTATTTGACTCCATTGGCTGGTGTTTGATGAATGAGTCGTCCAGAGTTTACTGTAGTATTTGATTCCATTGGCTGGTGTTTGATGAATGAGTTGTCCAGAGTTTACTGTAGTATTTGATTCCATTGGCTGGTGTTTGATGAATGAGTTGTCCAGAGTTTACTGTAATCTCCACATGCAGCATTTCTCATCAACTCAGTGATTAATCATATTGAAAGGACTAACTTGATTAGCATTGATTTTCTCCTCGGGTGCCCCCTACTAATAAATAGGGACCATGTTTTCATATCATGCTCCATTGCGGGTTCCACTTGGCTAACAGAGCAAGACAACTAGCCAAATTATAGGGAAGGCCTCCATGTTGTACCATCTAACTTCACGTAGCATCAGGTGTGCAGTTATCACTAGTTACAACACAGAGAGGCGGTAAACTGTGATGAAGTCCAGAGTTAATGAACAGATTCCCCGGGATTAACATTACAGTGGATTAAACAGGAAGCAGGAGTCTCTATGTTGAAGTCACATACAACCTTGAAGGAGATATGATCGGAATGCGGTGACTATTACATAGCCACTAACATATCCCACAGGTTTAGAGTGGTATATACTGAACTATTTACCACCTGATAAAGTTAAAGGGTTGTAAAATCCTGCTTATATGTTGGTGCTGTATGGGAGAAGCAGTTTGACATTTACTTCCGCTATATAGTAGGTAGGATATGGTGGCAAACTTTAAAGAAGGAAGGGAGATTACATATGGACATAGACTGCCAAAGTTTTGATATTGTGAAAACAAACATTGCTGTTGTTTCCACATCAATTATAAGAACTGTATGATATATATATCTTGATCAAAGTAGAAGACAACAGAAAGAGGAAACTTTACCTGTGAAACATTATCGACCTGAGGTACTGATTTAATGCAGGTATTATTTAATGAGTATTATTAACTTGATCTTGTGTATTCCAGCTACACATTTAAAGGAGGTTGCAATTTTGTAGTTTACAACTTACAGTGACTTCAAGTACAAAATCAAAGAAGGGACCACTACCTAGGACTTCAGACTGATAGAAAGGATGATTTATAACTAAGTCTTTCAACTTCAAGAGCCTTCAGTTTAATTTATCAGATGATGGGCAGTTATGATAAGTTGGTGAGGTATGCAGTGGTAACTGTGTGAGTTGAATATAGGCTCATCATTAGATACACATCAACACCTTCAACCAGTGGTGAGACTACCCTGTTCTTTACCATACCTTTCAACTGGGTACCTTTCAACTGGGTCACTACGTACTTGTGAGGAACTTGTGTGAACTTCATCTTGTAATTCCAGGTGAGTGTTTTGGTGGTTAATTAAAAAAGAGTACACCTGGTGTAATAATTACCTGGAGTTTCACCTGTAAGCTGGGCAATGGAGAGAAATGTGTGTGTGTGTGTGTGTGTGTGTGTGTGTGTGTGTGTGTGTGTGTGTGTGCATGCGTGCATACATTTGTGTGTTATGTGTGTGTAATGGCCAGTCTTTATATATGTTAATAAGTGTAAAGTATCATTCTTTGCTGACTAGTGACCTCAGTTTTTCACATCATCAGACCCACTTGTTGACCACAATTTCAGACAAATGAAGTAAGGATCAGTGCATTAAGAGCACTGGCCTGAAGTCTTCTATTGTCTGGTAATCCATTGGAATCTGAATATTTACCCTCTCTGCAGCATGTCTATATTATATCAGTCAGTAGAGGGGCACCTGCTGACCAACCAACCCAACAATAGACATATGAGTCTTGGCAGTGAAAACTTGACTTAATCCCAAATCCCTGATAATTCAGCCTTGACGGTTAATCCAGCCACTGAGGTTATCAATGTGTATTAACAGAGGAGTTATATCAATAAGTGACTGTGTATACACTGTATCAGAAATAACTAGATACTATATCTGACTTCAGGTGCTTGTTTTACCTGATACAGGTGTGAATAGCATGTGGTGTACCTGGACTTAGTATAACATATAGACTTCTTCATCTTGGTATAGTGACCATTATAACACTGGGATGTGTGGCTCTTGGTCAGATATTTGTGGTAAAGGATAAATTTTTAATCTGCCCATATACTTATATACTGTACATAACTTGAAGTTGCGTGAAAGTGAAGCTAAAAACGGGTAAGTAAGACTCTGGTGTGGATGGTCTTGTGCAATGTGTAAATGTGTGTTGAAATCCAATGTGTTCAATAGTTTACTGTTCTAGTAACATAGAAACCAGTTTGATATACGACTGAAAGTGTGTCAAATACATATCTGTTATTGATAGTATGATATCAGCTACTGGTGTGGTTTACTTTACTCAGTGACACTGAATATCAAAGAATGGAGATATATCCCTGTACACACTCAGCAGAAATGAGGATGCATAAGTTATATTTGCCCTCTATTTACAAAGATCTTTTTCAGTTGGAATATTTCCCCATGATATGTTGTTTTGGAATGTGCAGGGATTGGTGGGCCATGTTAAATGTCCACAGTTATGTGAGTGGTAGGGGACATCTATGTGGGATATCTTATTGTGGTCAGCCACAACTATGTATATCCCCCAGCACTGATATAGACATAGTTGTTGTTATATGTACCTTATATCATTGTACACATATTGCACTGTTTAAGTTTGTGATAGCATCCTATGAATCTTGAGTTACAAAGATGTTCACTTGGTTGTCACATTGACCAGGTTGTCTCACACAATGCACTGTCACATCTAACACATTGAGGTACAATGAGGTTCACTTGGCTGTCATAGTGAGCAGGTTGTCTCTCACAATGCACTGTCACACCTAACACATTGAGGTACAATGAAGTTCATTTGGCTGTCATAGTGACCAGGTTGTCTCTCACAATGCACTGTCACACCTAACACATTGAGGTACAATGAAGTTCATTTGGCTGTCATAGTGACCAGGTTGTCTCTCACAATGCACTGTCACATCTAACACATTTAGACCCTTCACACATCCTGAAATATACTGAACTGTATCACAACTTTTTGACTGGTCCTAACAAATAATTGCCAATAATTACGCTGAGGGGTTTCGCTCCTTTTCACAGCTTCACTTTAAACTGTTTAGATCAATCAAAATTAATCTAG